TTTAGTGGACCTGTCTTCAGTTTGCCATTTTTTTTACTAGAAGACTGATTCCGGAGCAATTCCTAATGGATGCTTTGAAAATGTTGGATATATTGTACATACCGGGTTATATTACAAAAACTGGTTGGCTTTGTTCTGGTCTAACTTGATTTGTAATTTAACTATGACCAGATCATGACATATTTGCTGTTGTAACTGGACTCTTATACCTTCTTATACTAAAAATATAATCAATTTGATTTCTGTTCATTTTGATTTCTGTATGCTTAATTGGGTGGTATTCATGCACATAGGTGTTGTTTTTGGTTATATGAAAAACGCGTTAGCAACAGCGAAATGTTTAAATTGGCAAAAACTGACAGGTCATTCTACTGCTTCATTTCTGTTTTTTCTGTCTCTATTTTTTCTTTCTTTCTCTTTCCAAGTTTGTCAATCTTGCTGATATATTCTTACAAATTCAGATTGAACTTGACCATAAAACCAAATTTGTTTTTCTATTTAGATTTTTTTTTTTTTTGGAAACACAGTAGTAGACAACCCATCCAGGTTCTGATCCGATTGTATTGTTTTAATTCAAGACAAAATCCTGAGAGGGGTCATCCAAACAATTATTATGCTGTAGGAAAGAGTTCGTTGAAATCAACTGACTATTGCATGACAAAAGCCTTCTTGATTACCTTTCCTGGTTTATTTGTTGCTAAAGTCTATTAGATGTTTCTGGTCAGGGTCTACAAGCTGCAATACTGAAGTTTATTGATAATGGAACAAAACATGTGCCTGAGCCTTTAAATGGAGCAGTATTGATGCAAATTTTTGGAATGATTCACTTAGTGATGGTAACTTACTTAGTGAAAGTAACTCACTTAGTAACGGTGTCAGCATTCAGGGAGGAGAAGCTGGAAAAAATATGAAGCCAGAGAGGGTTGAAACACAGGAGCAGTCAATGCCACATAGGTCAGAGCGTTGGAACAAAGGGATTCCACCTGACAAGTGTTCTGCTAGTAAAGTTAAAGTGTGTAATGTATGGTATGAGCCAAGATACTATAATGAAGTGTTGGCATTACCTAGAATTGAACAAATAAAGTGGAAAGAACCCATGGACAAGGATATGAAATCCATGGATGACCATAACGTGTTCACATTTATGACTTTGCCACAGGGTAGCAAAGCAAAGTGGGTATATAAGAAGAAAGTATTGCCCAATAATGAGGTTCAGTATAAAGCAAGATTAGTGGCACAAGGTTTTTCACAGTTGAAAAATGTGCACTATGATGAGGTGTTCGCGCCAACTGTAAAGAGTGAAAGCATAAGATTTGCACTGGCACATGGCCATAAAATTTGGCATTTTGACATAACCACTGTGTTCCTCAATGCAGAATTGGAGGAAGAAATTTACCAGGGTATGAAACTAAAAGCCTAACATGGTGTATAAATTGAACAAGGCCACTTATGTGCTGAAGCAGTCAGCCAGAAATTGGAATATCTGTCTATCTAAGGCATTGAAGGGTCTTGGGTTCAAGAGTTGTAGGCTGATGGTAGTATATACACTGGAAAGTTACAAGGTGGGGATTATAAACTATTAGCATTTGTGGATGATCTTTGTTTCATTGCAAGGATGTATCCAGTGGTGGGTTGCCCTCAGTTCGGACCGGTTCGCAAGAACCAGTAGTAAAACCGGCAGGAGGCTCCGCCGTCACTGCGTTATTTTATTTACCAGCTGAGCTCATTATTTCTGGACTGTCAGACTCTCCGTAGCTTTGCCAACTTCTTATCAGTAAGCTACGTGTTTCCGTATCACCCACATTCCTTCACTTGCTCTTCACACATCTCTTTCCTTTGTTCTCTTGCCAGAGGTCCGGCTCAGATAGCCGGCCCGAATTACTTTCAAAAATGTAACAATTAACTTTTCTTAGTTAGTGAGGTGTTTTATTTTCTTTATAACAAATAAATGAGTTTTATTAGAAACCTTCCTTCGCGTTTCTTTTCAGATTATTGCAATTTGGAATAAGCCACGATGCATCTCCTCTAAACCAGGGTAATTAGTCCCAGAGCCAAACATGGGATTAATAAATGCCCTGACATTCTGGTAGCAGAGGATGGTTTGATTTATGGCTTTTCCTTGTTTTTTGTTACTTCTGATAAGAGCGCATAGGCAATTAGTTTTTAGCTACTGAGGTACGCTAATTATATTGCTGAGATGCCGAAACAGAAGAAAAAGGCAAAGTGAAACCAAGACCACTCTTCGTAAATGATTTGATTGATCTTTCCAATGAAGAGGTGGCAGACAGGAGGTTTCCAGATTTCCAGCCCCTTCTACAGCCACACGCCTGGAACAAGAAAAAGCCGTGGGAACAGAAATGGAGACAGATAAGACAGAAGCTGTTTTTGAAGATGATGATTTACGACTGAGGTCAGTAACATTTTCTTCTGATCTTCCAAGCTCTGAAAAGTCTCCCCAGAACCTTCTGAATTTGTAAAGCTCGGTGCAAGCACTGCTGAGCAAAATTCCTCCCACGCAGAGAGAGAAACAATTCATTATTCTCCTCGAAGCTCTAAGCTCACCCTGGATCAGCTAGCCATGAAAGCCTACCGTATAAAACTCTATGAACAGCAGCTATCCCAAGCAAAAATGGCTATATCTATGCTTGAGCAAGACATGGGATAAGATAACTTAATTTTTCAAAAAGCGCCATATTGTCTTCTTGCTCAGAGCCAAAGACACTCCCCCTGGTGGATCCTGTGTCAGGCCAATTAAGGCAAAGAGCACTGCATACGTCACATGAAAGTCTCCCTGATCAAGTTACACATGTCTTACATAACCACTTCCAGCAGCTCAACACGAGTATCTGCGTGAGAAGATGTGCCTTATTTGATGATGTACTGATATTCGCTCAACTGGCAAAGAAGGGGAATGTCACTGCGTTATTTTATTTACCAGCTGAGCTCATTATTTCTGGACTGTCAGACTCTCCGTAGCTTTGCCAACTTCTTATCAGTAAGCTACGTGTTTCCGTATCCACCCACATTCCTTCACTTGCTCTTCACACATCTCTTTCCTTTGTTCTCTTGCCAGAGGTCGGCTCAGATAGCCGGCCCGAATTACTTTCAAAAATGTAACAATTAACTTTTCTTAGTTAGTGAGGTGTTTTATTTTCTTTATAACAAATAAATGAGTTTTATTAGAAACCTTCCTTCGCGTTTCTTTTCAGATTATTGCAATTTGGAATAAGCCACGATGCATCTCCTCTAAACCAGGGTAATTAGTCCCAGAGCCAAACATGGGATTAATAAATGCCCTGACACCCGCCCACCAACCCTGATGTCATCAGGAAGCTTCTGCGCATGCACAGAAGTGTGTGAGCGAAGTGAGCAATGTGAGCACGTGGGCACGGGGCCCTGTTGCAACCTGGTAGTAAAGGTAAGTAGATCCTACCCCTGCATGTATCATAGTAAAAGAGTTCTCAGGTATTTGAAGGGAACTGTGAATTTGAATCTTCAAATACAAGTATCTGAAGAATATTAAGTTATTCAATTTTATGTCTCTTCCAGTCATGAAGGAAGGAGTATCAGAATATTCATGACTGGGAAGACATGGTAACAAGGTCAGTCAATGAATAAGGCATAGCAACTATGTCAGCCAATTGGGAGCTGAGACAGACTGGGTCAGAGTGTGTCTTAGTCTGCAGCTTCTGAGTCTGTAAAGAGAAACCGAAACCAGAGAGTGTGTGTTAAGCTCTGAGCTGTGAAGCTGTGTGTGTGAACCTGTCTGCAGATCTGAGCTGAAATGAAACTGTGAATCTGCTGTTGGTATTGTAAACTTACTTCATGTATTATTGTGTATATAAAGAAGTTAATGAATCCTGCTGCATCAGTTTAACTGTGTGTGCTTCTGGATTTGTTTTTTGCAACAAACTCTGATAATGTTTCGTGGAATATGCCCTGTGTATCGTATCAAACAAATCTTTCAATCCAATTTACCTCACAGGATTGCTACTATGAAGATTTAGAAAAGGAAGTGCTATATATGCTGCCTTGAGCCCCTAGATAAAGATGGGTTATAATTGTAACACACACAGAGACATACACACTATATAGATAGAGAGATATTATATGGGTTTCTCATTTAGAATATTTTCAATAGCTTGCTGAAGAAATCATTGGTGAATATCTCTTTTCCCTAGAGAAAACTGGAAAATCATCTATGTAATTTTCATTCCCAATACATTTGGTAGAGACATTGGAAAACCTATTTGGGCCTGGAATCAGCTGCTATGATCTCTAAACAAGCAAAACTTTATATAATCAGAGAACCAAAGTGTTATTGTAAGTTTTTGAATAGGCTGAACATTTAATGGACTAGGATAGCAATCAACCAGGCTCAGAATCCTCCAGAGATTCCTATGGAAACTTCTATACTTTTGACTTAGCAGTGTTTTCAAAGTATCCCATGTGGCATCCCAAATGGATCCAGTTTTTATTTAAAAAGTAATTTCTGAAAAGTTTAACCCAAATATCATTTACATTTGATTTTTAAGTGTTTTGTGTTATCAGTAGTTGTACACGTGCATCTTAACACTGAATGACCTGGAATGCCAGCATTCTCATGAATGTTAGCTTGTATGTGACAATATCTGAATGGATGAACCAATGAATATTAATAATCATCTGAATAAAATTTTTGTTCTCAGTTTCTAGACTTGAAAACTAGAAATGCCCCTTTGTGCACTTAGAAAAATCATCTGCTATTCAGATAAGAATGATCATTTTCCCCTACAGAACTCAGATATCTCAATTTTTGTAAAATTGTGTTCAACTCAAAATTAAACAAAAAGAGTGTGAAGCACTTGCAGTACTCAAGGTAATTTCTAGGTAATTTCCACCTAGTCACAAGGAAAGTATACATTTGTCATGTTATTAATCTCAGTTTGGTCAACTTTTTCTAATTAGTATTTAATCCCAGTTTGATACAGTAAAGGAGTATAATAATTACCAATTATCAATTGCTATTATAGATCTTTAATATACAGATCAACAGGTTAAACTGTTATCTTTTTCCAGATTATACATTCAATCAAAATATTTGTATCTCAGCAAGATTGCTTGCACACCTTCCAGCCACCATGTTTCAATATCTTCTTCAGAACTCTTCAGACTCTTCAGACTTTTCCTGATATTTTATGCGGGACGACCGTGGGGAGACCTATAGACATTTTTTTCAAAAAAGAAACAAGAATTGCAGATTTAGAAATGAGAGAGAACTATAAATCATCAGGAAATCAATTTTTGAAAATACTGGTATTAATAGACAATGTTCTTTAAAAGCCTACATAGTATATTGTTCTAGAGTTATTAACTGATTGTATATTTTTTCATTTGTTATATAACGTATGGCAGGGATGTCAAACTTGTGTCATCACAGCAGCATCACGTGACATATCCCGCTTTGCAAAACTGGGCATGGATGTAGTCAGCATGTGACTCACCTGGCCCGTGGGCTGCGAGTTTGACAGCCCTGCTTTATGTGTTCAGTTACTCCCATCCCCAGAAGCAGCATTTGTTCAGAATTTGTTCTGGTATTCAAGAGAATTACCATTACTATGGGAAATAGTGCAACTGACTGAAAAAAAAGTTCATGTTAGAAGCATAAAGGAAGGGAAGGAGAGAAACCATTCATTGATCGATTATATTAAAAGAACTCTGTGGGAAAACACACAGGGCAACTAAAGAAGGGAGTGTGAGAAAAAGTCTTAATGGTCAAGATGGACAAATCTCATCCTAATACTTCAAAGTGATTTCAAACGATAAAAAATAATGCTCAACAGGAATGTAGAAAGAATCAATAGGTCAATACAGTTTTTTTTAAATTGGAGATGTTCTCTGATGGGTTGGGGTAAAAGAATGTAAAACGATAACAAGAGCATCATATTATTATGACATCAGCTGTTCCCCTATTGTACAGGAATCAGCCTGGAGCCATTATATTCCCACAAGCGGTCTAAGACCAACCACTCTTAAATTCTGTTAATCTTTATTTAGCACCAAAATAGCACTAATCATTAAATTCCTGTGCATGGGCATGAGCAATTAATGGGAATTTAACATGTGACCTTGATCTTTTGCTTCTGACAGATGTAGATGTAAAGTATAGGTATAGGTATTGGTATAGCTCAGGGGTCTGCAACCTTAAATACTCAAAGAGCCATTTGGACCCATTTCCCACAGAAAAGTAAACACCAGGAGCCACAAAACCTGGGTGGACGTGGCCAACTCGATGTCACTCACTTCCACCAATCACATGAGCCCCCCCTAGCAATGCCTACCCAGCCAGTCATTAGGGCAGAGAACCAGTTATTAAAAAACACCAGGAACCAAAAAATCATTTTGACATCTCTTTCTCTCCCCCCCTCCCTCCCTCTCTCTCTGTATCTCTCTATGTCTCTCTCTCTCCCCCTCTTCTCTGTATCTCTGCCTCTGCCCTGCCCGCTTCTGTCCCCCACTGTCACCCTTACCTTCTCAGGCCAGATGAGGAGTGACTGGGAGGGGAGGGCGAGGGGTGGGGCAAGGCAGTGGTGGGATCACCTGACAGGGAGCCACAGCAGAGGGCCCCAAGAGCCGCATGCGGCTCTGGAGCCACAAATTGCTGACCCTTGGTATAGCTATAAGGCTGCCCAGCTAGAGACCAAGTCTGGGTGGTTTATATTACTGAGAATAAAAAATAATAATAAACAAAGAGACTGTATGTATAAATGTGGAGACACTAATTCTAAGCAGTACACAACACATAGTCCACAAGGGCTGAAGAGCCCCCTACTCAGAAGCCTGGGAAAACAACCAGGTTCTTAAAGACTTCCTCAACACCATTACATCAGAGAGATATGCATCTTAAGAAAAAGAAAAATCCAAAGTGATTTTAGTAGTATTTAAATTTAAAATGTTTCCTGACAATTAAAACCATTGCATTTATACTGCTGCAAAGAAGATCAAAAATTACTTCTTTAAATATTTATCTTTTTCTTTCTCTTTTTTATCTTTCTTTTACTTTTATCATTTTTCACTTTTTCTTTTAATTTTTCATGATTTTTATCTTTCCTAGATTTATGTTTCTGTAGTTTTTAATCCTGCGCTGCTGCATTTGTTTAGAGCAGAATAAGAGATTCAGGTATATAGTGTTGACTTACCATCTACAGCAAACCAGGCCACCAGCACAGTCTCCTGATTGTTCAGCAGGAAATGGACATGATAGTCTACAGGAGCCACCACTTTGGAAACAAGCAATGTTGGCAGGGTCGCTTTGGCCAGCTACTGTATAAGAAAGAGGGGGGGATACCATTGGCATTTTAGAATCTGTATTTATTTATTATTACTAATTATATTTTATTATTTTCATAAATATTACACGTTTCATGATTTACATTCATTTTACAAATAATAATAATAAGAAATCCAAAATATTAGAATTCAAAATACTTGAATACTGTTGGCATTGACAAAATCCCTAACAGTCAATAGTAGAAGGCAGCTTTACTTGGAACAGGTTAAATCCTGTGACAAAACCTTTAATAACATCAAACAACAACATCTGCCTGTCCCCATTCATTGGGAAGGACTTGATAGGTAGATAAAAGTGCCAAATCTAATCTAAACATTTGGCTGACTGTCCAGAAACCAATAATAATAAAATGTTGATAATGGTGTCGATGCTGTACTAGGAAATGATATGAGCTAAATTCAAGCCCATTCTCACCTATGGAAGGCTATATGGATGGCTATATGGAAACTGCTAGTGGAGAAGACAGTATATCAGCTCAGCTATTTAAAATCCCTAAAGATTATTCTGTTAAAGTGCTGCACTCCAGCTCTCCAGTATTCCAGCAAATTTGGAATACTTACAGTAACAATGCAATAGTGCTCATTTGACAAGCTAGCAAGGTCCCACTAAAATCCTATATGCTAAATTTCAAAATGTGAACTAACCACTTACCAGAAGTATAAATTGGGTTTTGAAGAGGAAAGGAACTAGAGATCAAATTAATAACATTCACTAGATTATGGAGAAAGCAAGGGAATTCCAGAAAAACATCTACTTCTGTTTCATTGACTATGCTAAAGCCTTTGATTGTATGGATTGCAAAAGTGTGGCAAGTTCTTAAAGAGAGAGAAGTGCCAGACCACCTTACCTATCTCCTTGGAAACCTCAAGAAGCAACAGTTAGAACTAGACATGGACCAATCAATCAACCTGTCTTCTATAATAATGCCATGAATTCTCTTAGCAGTTTGCCCTTTTTTTAAAAAAAAAATCCTTTTTCTTTTTCTGTGATGATATCTGAGAGGGATACTGTTGGAAACATAATAAATAACATAAAATAATATTTTGTGAGTGTATCTTCAGACATTCATCTTGAAAGACTTGCAAATGAGTCTTCCCATAGATATAATAATGTTTAACAATACAAGTTTTCCTACTTTTCAGGAGATATCAATGCTTTATTCTAATGGATTTGGCACATCCAAATTATCAGGCCCATTTTGTCATTAAGTGGAACAAATCTTTGTTCAGAGACCAGCTTCAGGATTAAAGATACACTCACAAAATAAGATAGCAATAGCACTTAGCAATAGACTTATATACTGCTTTATAGTGCTTTACAATCCTCTCTAAGTGGTTTACAGATTCAGCATATTACCCCCAACAATCTGGGTCCTCATTTTACCCACCTCAGAAGGATGGAAAGCTGAGTCAACCTTAAGCCTAGTGAGCTTTGAACAGCCAAACTGCAAGCAGCCGACAGTCAGCAGAAGTAGCCTGCAGTACTGCACTCTAACCACCGTGCCACCATGGTTCAAGATACTATTTTATCTTATTTATTATGTTTCCAACAGTATCTCTCTCAGATATGATGGGAGAAAAAGAAATGGGATTTTTTTAAAAAAAGAGCAAACTGCTAAGATAAGTCATGGCATTATTATAGAAGACAGGTAGATATGCTCCCCCTGAGACATTTCTTGTTGGAAAAATAAGGTGGGAACAGCCCTCTTAACTTTTGTAGATTGAAATACCCTTAACGCTCTTTGACTGGTGGTCAATACCAAAAATAAAATAAGTAAAGTATCATTGTGAAAAGTATTTGAAATTAATCTCAAGTATACTTCTCCTCTAGACCATCTGGGTCATTTTAGTTCTCTCCTTACCTGTGACAGCCTGGTGGGAAAACAAGAAGATGGCAACAAGGAGGAATAAAGCCTTCATGGCTGAAGCTCAGAGCAACCAGTTCAAGAGGCAGGAGTCTCTAAGTTGGGTCAAGTGAGACCGAGCAGTTCTTTGCTGCGGCTATTTATGAAGCTTTAAGAAGCACAAGGGTCAAAGGTGGCTTAATTTTTGGCAACCTGGAGGAATGACAATATCACAATTACATTGGCATCCTTTTTAAAAAAAAAATCTACCCTCTGGTGGGCTGTTTCCTGAAAGGATTCAGGATTGGAGGAGAAAAGAGGTGGTTTAAAAACTGCCTTCCTGAGTTTCGGAACAAAGTTCAGTCAGTTAAGCATTTCTTCCCTAGCAGAGATTCAAATGCAAGATGTAAATGTCATTTCTTTGCCCTTGCTGTTATTTGGCATTGAAAGATGCAATCCTTCTGTACATCAGATTCTAGATATTAAAACAGCAATTGTAGCAGATATCTACCTTTTTTGTAGATGTGTGTAAATACATGCCACATATTTGAAAAATTAAGTACTATGTAACTTATTTATGAATGCTCTACTCTCATTGGCATTTACTACCCCCCCACACACAAAGTATAACAATATGAGATTGCAGCTTGCTAGATGAACTTGTAAGAACTATGCTAAATAAATTCCTTTATATTTATAACAATTTTCTGCATTTAGTTCTGTTGCCCTTAAGTACCGTACCAGCCCAAGGTTTACGAAATCACCCAAGTACTTAATTTTGAAAGCAAGATGATAAGAATTAAAAATGTTCAACTCAAAACCAAAAACGAATAAATAAAAAACCATAGCAGTGTTAATATATATTTTCACTGCCTACCTAAGCATGATTTGAAGTACGGTAATCAAATCTCATTTTTGTGCATAATTTGTAAGAGGTGTGCTGTCTCATACTGTGTTTTTCCATTTTGGGGTGTATGACAAAGATTGTAATTTGTTGACAGATTCATATATGAAATATCTTATCTCTTAGGCCTTTCCCCATGGTTAATTAAAAGTGTAATCCATATATGCTTGAATAGATGGGAAACTATACCATAAAACAATATATACAGTGCCCATTGCCAATCCCTGATCTGCACTATTACTTCTGTTCCAATTTGCAGGTGAATGCTGGTATCCTTATTTCAACTGAGCAAGACATGTTAAGCAAATTAATTGGATAAAGGCTTCAGCATTACTTCCTCAAATGTTACTAGCAATCAAGGAAACAAAACAGTGATGTAAGAATGGGCAGTGATAGGAGATGTTTTATTTTGCCTGTTTTCATGGCAAAACATGGCATGGCAAAATAATAGATGAGTCTAAACACCTGTTTCACAAGTTTTGAAAGATAGCTCGATTCATACTTTTAAGCTTTTCCACTAAGGAGTTTGCAGGCTGATCACTCTTTCAAGCCCACTGAACAAACTTGTGGAGATATGGAAAGGTGTAATCCTTGCTCATAGAACAAGTAATTACACTCTCTGAAAAGCATGTATTTCAGGTAGTCTCCAAAATAGCTGGTATGTAGACTTATAGTAATTTGTAAAAAGAAAATCATTCAAGAGAGCACATTTCTCTCAAAATTGGATCACTTTTGCAGGCTATTGAATAACCATGGGGTAAGCCCCCCCCTCCCCAAACAACTATGGTTTCTGGCTTTTCAGGAGAGTATGGCTTTTTCCACAACTGGCACTTTCTATGAGATGAGGAGAAAAAAGTGAATGACAGTGGAGGACAATACCTGAAGATCAGCAGGATGTCCCTGCAGCACCTGAAGTGATTTGAATCTGCTCCACTGTAGGTCACCTGATTTACTCACCAAATGCATAGGTGGTGAAGTGAATTAAAAATGTAACATCATGAAACAGCCATTAGTTGCTCAAGAGGAAAACTTTTTTACTTTACAGCTAAGGACCACATAAAACTATCTTACGCATGAGGTTTTTTTTAAAATTTGATTTATATGCCGCCTTTCTCCGGAGACTCAGGGCGGCTTACAATGCGTTAAGCAATAGCCTTCATACTTTTGTATATTTATACAAAGTCAGCTTATTGCCCCCACAAACTGGGTGCTCAATTTACCTACCTTAGAAAGGATGGAAGGCTGAGTCAACCTTGAGCCTGGTGAGATTCGAACTTGCAGTAATTGCAGACAGCTGGTGCTAATCACAATGCTTTTAGTCTGCTGAGCTATCCAGGCTCCTGGAGTGAGGAAGTGAGGAATATTCCTTATTCATTTAAGGTTTCAGAAGCTAGCACAACTGTCTTGAAGGGCAAAGACCAGCTCTGCTCCTTGTGCAGCAACATTTTTGCCTAAACTGCCTGATTTCACTGCCAGGTTGGCCTTGAAATATTCAAGACTTTTAGTTCTTTGTGACTTTAACCTGCACCTGGGTTATCTTGAATCTGGAAAAGCTTAGGGGTTCATGGCCATCATGGAAACTATGGACCTGATTCAATTACAGAAGGCCTGACACGCACAAGGGGCACCTACTAGTTCTAGTCACGTGTTGGTTTCTTGGTTATCACCAGAACAATTAGGATACCCAATTGAGATTTTAAATATTTGAAAGTTAAATGCTGAATGTCTTAAAGCTTTTATTTACTTTTTTTAAAGCCATTATTCAAAATGTAAGCCTGTTCAAGGAAAATGTTTTTTTTGGGGGGGGGGGAGGGGGGACCAGAAATGTAAAGATAGTGCATTCTTGCGGTCCCCCCCCCTCAGTGTTTTATAGGCCATTCCAACTCAATCCTGACACAGTCAGAAAGGAAACGGTTTTTTTTTTAATCCAGTTCCTTTTGCCTCTGAAATATTTCATCAGTTAGACAGCATCATCCAACTTTATAACAATAATTAATCCTAAACCATATGTAGACACTATCATGCTGGGCATAGTCATTTAATGTCCCACAAGGTAAATCTTTAATTCAAAGTTATCAATTCATCAGCATTTCTCAGACCTATATATAATTTTTTTAGAGGCATTGTTGGGTTGATCCCACAAAATTCTTCCTATTGGAGAGAAATAAGGGAGGGATAATTTGTAATCTTTTAACCTGGGCTATATAGTAGCAGAAATATAATGAGGACAGAGAGTTTAGTAAATCCCATCCAAGCTGCATAGCATTCTCTGCAATTCCTGAGTCTTTGAAATAGTTGAAGCTACTGAGGGACAAAAATAAAAGAGAATTCAATAATCCAATCTAGCTAAAAGTCACATTTTAGGCAGAACTATTCTAACAAAGAGAATGTTTTTGGTTTTCTTTTTAGCCTGATAATTTTTAATTACTCAATAATTATATTATTTTTATATCATTGGAGGATTTTTTTCTTTACAGTTCTTTGGTGCTTCTAGAGCATGGGTTCTCAAACTATGGCCCGTGGGCCGCATGCGGCCCATTGAACCAATTAATCCAGCCCACGGAGCACCACGAGGTTGCCCTGCCCACATCACCCCACCCACCCTTCAGCAGAGTGCAAGACTTGCCTTCGGGAGACCTGTGGGCTGGAATCAAAAGGTAAGCTCAACAATTTTAGCCTGCAGAATGCTTGTGGAGGTAAGGGGGGGGGTTAGAAGAGGCAAAAAAACAGGCAAAAATGGCCCGGTTTTGGCCAAAAAATGAGCCATTTTTGCCTAGTTTTAGCCTGCAGAATGCTTGTGGAGGTGGGGGGGAGTGAAAAAAGGCAAAAAACAGGCAAAAGCGGCCCATTTTTCACTTTCACCACCTCCACAAGATACACACAGAGAGAGAGAGAGAGAGAGAAAGAGAGGGAGAGAGAGAAGAGAGGGAGAGAGAGGGAGAGAAGGAAAGAGAGAGGGACAGAGAAAGAAAGGGGGAGAGAGAGAAATAGAGAGAGAGAAGAAAGAAAGAGATAAAGAAAAAGAAAGAAACAATGAAAGAGAAAAAGAGAGACAGAAAGAGAGAGAGAGACAGAAAGAGGGAGAGAGAAGGAGAGAAGGAGAAGGAGAGAGACAAAGAAAGAGAGGGAGAGAGAGGGAGGGAGAGAGAAAGGGAGAGAGGGAGAGAGACAGAGAGAGAGAGAGAGAGAGAAAGAGAATGAAAGAGAGAAAGGAGAGAGAGAGAAAGAGAGGAGAGAGACAAAGAAAGAGAAAAAGAGAAAGAATGAAAGAGAAAAAGGGGGAGAGAGAGGAGAAAGGGGGAGAAAGAAGAAAAGAGAGAAAGAGAATGAAAGAGAGAGAAAGGGGGAGAAAGGAGAGGGAGAGAGAGGGAGAGGGAGAGAGAGGGAGAGCGAGAAGGAGAGAGAGAAGGAGAGAAGGAGAGAGAGAAAGGGAGAGGGGAGAGAGACAGACACAGAGAGAAAGAGAATGAAAGAGAGAGAAAGGGGGAGAAAGAGAGAGAGAGAGAAAGAGAGGGAGAGAGAAAAAAGAGAAAGAGAGAAAGAATGAAAGAGAGAAAGGGGGAGAGGGAGAGAGAAGGAGAGAGAGAGAGAAAGAGAGAAGGAGAGAGAGAGGGAGAGAGACAGAGAGAGAAAGGGAGAGAAAGGGAGAGGGGGAGAGAGACAAAGAAAGAGAGAGAGAAAAAGAGAGAGGGAGAGGGAGAGAGAAGGAGAGAGAGAAAAGAAAAAGAGAGGGAGAGAGAGAATGAAAAGAGAGAGAGACAGAGACAGAGAGAGAGACAGAGAGAGATTTCTCAAGCTCCTTGGGGCTGAGAAGAATTGTAGCAAAACTGAGTTTCTTGAAATGGATCATAATACATTCTGGATCTGACACACATCCTGAGGCTACATCGAAGTTAACGCAACCTTTATTAACTAACAGTACATAAGTAACACAGCAAAAACTCCCGCACTTTGACAGCTCCTTTTATACCCCCGAGCTGTCAACGTATCAACCAATCAGAATTATAATAGCAAGCAGGCCCGGCCACTAGGGGCCAATGGCGGCGTAACTTAGTATGCAACACTCCTTCCCACCCAGCTCACGTATGCGCCCGCTATATGCATACGTAGTCACTTAAATATGCTGGACTCCGTCGGACCCGCCTGGATCACCTGGGCTCCACCCCTCCTGGCTCGTCTGGCGGCGGTTTTGAATTAGCAGTCTCAATCGGAGCGTCTGCCTGGTATTCAGTGCTCCCAGCCTTGGCTTCCTCTGGCCATTCAACAGACTCCGGTACAGGCTCTATAGGTATGTCTGACGGGGACATCTTTGCCGGGGTTGGTGGGGGGGAGACGTCAGTATTCGGGTTGTATGGTCGTATGCATGGGTACTCCCTACTGTCTGGACGGGGCGCTAACATCCTCCTAGACCGCAGTTGGTCTTTATGGCGCTTCCAAACCCGCCCCTGGTCTACCTCAATTTGGTATGAACAGGGGCCTACTATCCCCATGACCTTTCCGGCCAACCACAACGGTTGCCCCCCATAATTCCTGGCATAAACCAGGTCTCCAACTTGGAATGGCCAGTACCTACTGTGGGAATCCACCGGTTTGCTCAGACAGTAGGATGGGTGTAACCGGTCTAACGATGTGCGGATTTTACGGCCCATCAAGAGCTCAGCAGGGCTCTTATTAGTTAACTGACAAAGTATCGTATGCTGAGCCATTAAGTATTCCTTCACCCGATCCTGCCAACTCCCCTGACTCATCTTCTTTAGGGCCTCTTTTGCCGACCTCACGGCGCGTTCAACAAATCCATTGCTGGCTGGGTGGAATGGCGATATTAAACAGTGCCGTATCCCCCGGTGTGCCAGAAATCCCTCGAACTCTGTGGATGTAAATCTGGGCCCCATTGTCAGACACCATCATATCAGGCAACCCATGGGTAACAAGCATTTTCCATAGAGCACTAATGACTGCATCAGAAGTGGTGGAACGCATTGGTACCACCTCAACCCACTTAGAGAATGTGTCGGCTACCACCGAGAATGACTGTCCCTGTAAGGGTCCCGCCAGATCTATATGCAAATGAGACCAGGGCCCCCCAGGATCCTCCCATTCCCGAGGCTGTTCCCTGGCCAGCATAGACATGCTTCCCTGACATTGCGAACATGTAGAGACCCAGTCAGTAATGTCGTGATCAAGATGTGGCCACCACAGGTAACAACGGCCCAGGGCCTTCATGCGCACCATCCCCGGGTGCCCCCGATGTAATTGTTGTAACAAGGATTGTCTCAGGGGAGGAGGAATTACTACCCAGGCAGGCAGCCAGATTGGGTGGACAGTTCAAGTCTCCTCGTAGAGTAGGGTTGGAAGTCCAGTGAGAACGGTCCCGATGGCCATCCCCTGGCCATCCAGTCAAGCACTTGCGATAAGATTCTGTCCTTAGCGGAAAGGCGGGCGACATCTCACGCAGTGACGAGTAGAGGCGACTCCTCGATCAGGAGAATGGTGGAGACAGGAACCGGGTCGATGAGAATATCAGGAACAGGGCAACGGCTCAATGTGTCTGTGTGGGCGATGTCCCGGCCGGGGCCGTGAATCAGTGTGTAAGAGTATGCAGCCAAGAAAACAGAGTAGCGAGTCATACGGGGTGACAAAATTTGCGGGGCTTGGTGGTCGCCCGCCAGAATTCCTAATAGGGGTTTATGATCCGTATACAAATCAAATGGTCGGCCGTACAAGTAATGGTGGAACCATTTGACCCCAGCCACAAGAGCGAGAGCCTCCTTATCCAGCTGCGAGTAATTCCACTCAGCTGGAGCCAATGTTCTCGAAAAATAAACTATAGGCAGTTCCCGGCTGGCCGGAAACTTGTGGCTCAATACCGCCCCCACCCCATACGGGGATACGTCACAGGCCAAGAACTGCATGAGAACAGCGTTGGAGGCAAGAAGGTGTTTCACTGCCCGGTATGTAGCATCCTCTCTGGCACCCCACTGCCAAGCTGCCTTTCAGTCTAGAAGACGGTGTAACGGCTCTGCGATCGAGGCTTTTGCAGAATAAAAACCACATAGAAATTTTTAGTAGACCGAGGAAGGACTGTAGATCGGCCTTACACCGCGGGGTTGGGGCATCCATAATAGCAGCCGTCTTCGCTGCAGTCGGGTGTATGCCGGAACCATCGATTAAGAACCCCAGGAACTCCACCTAGCGCACCGCCACTTTGCATTTAGGTTTGTTGACTTTGAGGCCAGCTG